GCCTCGGGGGCGATCTGGGGCTGTGAGCCGACTGGACTGTATTTGCAGCTACGGATCTGCTGTGAATCCTATTCCGCGACTGCGATACAGCTGAATTTTGATCTCCTGCTGCCCGGAGTAAATCTTTGATCTGCAACAAGCCTCTGCCAGCCTATGACTGGGAAGGCTGGATTGACTCTGCTATATGGGCCGCAGCCGCTAAATTCTGAATCGGGGTTCGATATACCTGAGTCAGTTCTGGAAAGAGTTGACGTCGACTGGAATCTGGAACCCGTTTCCGCGCACACTCGTCGAGTTCCCGCTGAAGGTTCCCAGTCGAGTGCGTTCATCCAAGTTGGCCAAGCGCGCGTCCTCTAAGGCACGAGCCTCGGGAGTTTCTCCAAGGATAGGAGTATGAAGTGCATCCATGTTCCGGCGGCGAAGTTCTTCCCTCTGCAGCAAAGTGAGGGGCTCGGGGAGATACTCCTCATGGGCATGCGACGGATCGCCTCCGCCGTCGCCTCCGTCGGCACCGGGATAACCGGGAGGACCGCGCGGTCCATCGACCATCAGAACCTCCGCCGCTGGATCACTGTTGTCGCACTCGAATGCACTCTCTGCAGAGCCAGTCGACAGGTTGAACAGGCCGTAGAGATTCATCGGGTTCGATTGCCGCGACTTGGGGGTGGCCGATTGGCGAGCCACCGCGTGTCTCACCCACCGCTAAAGCCTCGACCAACCGGAGCACTTGCACCGGTGGGAAACAGGGGGGAGGACGACACAGAAACCGATCGATACTGGGTCGACGACTGCCGCAGGAGGACGCCGCGGACGCACGCGTGAAAGTGCGTCACTCCGCGGACTGTGAGCGCGTCGATGTCGAGGGAGCCTCCTGAAGCCAAGCAGAGTCGTCGGTGACGAACATGAGCGCGCCGAGACGGATCTCGCGGCCCTCAACCAAAACTCCGCCTGAAACCATGATGAAGGAGATCGGAAAAAATTACAACTTCTCAAATAAGTCACTAAGACCTTTGCCCCATGGTGGGCGCCAACTGTCGTGGTTCTAAGTCTGACAGTAGTGTAGGGGGGTACTAATGGAGAGGCAAGATCCTAGCTATGGAGTAGTTGTATACGCAAGAGATTTACGAGTTCAGGCCCTTCTCGGAGGAAGTAACAGTCCTACGTCTCGGAGCCCGGAGGCGGTCGACTGGATTTTATGCGTATGAGTTACAGGGGTGCGAACCCTTACACTGAGGAGGGGGGTGGCTTATATAGAGTCCGCCAGACCCCTCCGACCCTCAGTTGTGCAGGGTTTAAGATACATTAAGGTTGGGCGTTACTGGTAACACTATACATAAAGTGCTGTGATGACCATAAAAGCTACTTAAGGACCGAACGTTAGCGTGCAGAGTGACTTTAGATCTCCTGGCTATCGAGTGGTTGGTTTCATGGTCGAGTGGTTGGCTTCATGGTCGAGTGTCTTCGAGTCAGTCGGGTGGAACACTTCCGAGTCGATTGACAGGTGGTTTATTCAAGAGATATCCTTGGGTAGGGTAGTTTGGACAGGTCCATGACCCTACCCTAGGTACATAGCTTCATCAGTCGCCTCTATGGGTGCAGCAGGGGGAGTAGCGATCATCACGGGTGCCGCCTTGGGCGCCGATGGTGCTCCCTCCTGAACCAAGGCGAGGTGCGTCTCATGCGCCTTCCGAGCCTTATATGCATCAACGACCTCTTGTGGTGTGCGACACTGGCGGGAGAAATGCTCCACCGAGCCACAATGGAAGCAGTCCTGAGGCCTCTGCCCTCCCTTGCCCGGCTTGTTCTGCTTAGCCGGGGCAGGAGGGTGAGGGCCCTTCTCCTTGCCCTTGCGGCCTCTCTTCTTCTGTTGAGGCTTGCGGACTTTGAGAGCGTTCACCTCCTGGCGAGAACTCCCCCCAAGTGGTTGCGCGACAAAGTTCTTTTTGAGAACCTCATCCTGCGCCTCCGCCACCTGGAGGACGTCAATCAACTCTGAATACCTCGTGTAGTTCCCCTGGCGGTAGTTCCGTGAGGACTGGACCGCGTCGGGGTGGAAAGTGGATAGGGTTTTCTCAATCTTTCTGGGAGTCGGTAATCTCTGTACCACACAACCGAAGAGTCGTACAAATCCGGTGCAGAGCCGAATTGTACTCCCCAACCGTCTTGAAGTCCGCAAACCTCAGACAGATCCACTCTGCCTCTGCACGTGGCTTCACAATATACTTCAGCCGCTCAAACTGCTGCTTAAGAGCGGTCCAAAGGCCAGAAGCACTGCGCTCAGCCATATACTCATCTTTTAGAGTAGGTGACAGGTGATGACGGAGAATATGCAGAGTCTGCGCATTCTCAGTTTCGAACTTGGGATCAGTGGCGGCCAGCTGGGCCCCCTTACCTATCGCCCTCAGGAGGGTTCTGCCCTGGAGATAGATCTCGCAGTCCGAGGACCATGACAGGTAGTTCGGCCCTGTCTGGGCCAACTCAACAAACTCCTTGTGGACGATTCCGGCCATCTGCGATTTATGCAAAAATCATGAGATTACAGCAGGTAATCTTTTGCACAAAGCGATGTTGATAAACTTATTCAATAAAAAGACGTTCCAATATTTAAAACATGCTATTATATGACTTACTAAATGATTAAGAGTGTGAATCAATTAATCTACAGCAGTAAAATCATACAATAATATCATGTTACAAAAGATAGCATGTTAAGCGCATCTAGTATGTGAAAACTAGCCCAAAAATTGGATTCCCGAGGCATTTTTAAGCCCAAATACATGTTTTCAGAGAAAACAGACAATTCCAGGGGCTTCTACGTGAAATATTACAGCATGAATAAAACTTGCGTAAAATCTGGAAACTATGGGGGCTAAACTGCAAAAATCACACACTGCAGCCGGCGCGCTCCTTTTTTTTATGGAGGAACCCACGGTCGCGGCCCACCCGGCCCAACAGCCAGTGGGCCGGCCCATGCGCAGCGCTGGCCTCCTGCCCGCTGGGACGCTAGGGTTTCCCTAGCGCCCGAGCGGGGGCGGCGGCTCGCCCGAGCGGTGCCAGACGCGGCCGGGGCTGGCAGGCGCGCTCGCGGGGCGACGACCTGCATCGAGCAGGGCCAGGCGAGGTGATGGCCAGGGGCGCGGCGCGGCCACAGGGGGCTGCGCGGCCGGGTGGCGCGGCG